GCACACATCGGTCCACGACGAGTAAAATGCTTAACGTTCATTTTCTCCTCATGTAATAAAAATTTCAGACTAAAAATCATGAGATAGTTAGGAAATCTGGCGATGTATTGTTATTTGAAAGAAAATTGTCGTTTTTTCAGTTTTTCAGCGAAATAGGAGCAAAATTATATTTGTCACGTGACCAGTGTTTCATACCTTGTCACAGACTAGTTTGTATCCCGCGAGGCGCGCGATAGTGACGTAATACCACAGGTAACCCACAGCGCACGCCGATTCGATAACATAATATAAAAGGAGCGTGCGCATTCATTCTTTTCTTTCTCTCAAGCAATAGTTGGGTAGCCTATGTACGTACTTCCAAAAATTAGCGCGTCCAACATATAGGTCGTTGATCATGATTACGAACAGCCAAGGGCCGAGTTTGGTCCCTTGGGGGACACCGGCTGGAACACTCTTCCACTCAGAGTAACAATCCTGAGATAACTTAACTCTTTGTTCTCGGTTTGTGAGAAAATCTGCAATCCACTGGACAGTCCAAGAGGGTAAATTATACTGAGCTAGTTTGTTGAGGAGGATCCGATGATCAATCAGATCAAAGGCCCAATTTATTAATTTCACGTCTTGTCACTTGATTATTGGTCCCTTTTAGGGCTGAAATTTCAGCACTGCCACGCCCATCATCTCCAAATACAGGTCGCTCTTAGGGGTCATTTTCATAATTTCCGCCGAGGACCCCCGCTCTTTGATATTAGGGAGTCCTACCCCGGGCATTTCATTCTCGTACCCAGACTCTACTCTAAGAGTAGTACGAGAGTACCTATATTATTGGGCTACCTGTGGAATTTTAGAACCTGAGATTGCACCATCAGTTGTACAAATAACCGGTTGCTTGGTCTCTGGAGTATTTGAACTTTTCTGCAGTATTTACAACTTACTGTAGCTATTTCTCTAAAGACGATAGAGGCTTATGATTTGAGGTATTATATTTCTTATTTGATGACTATTCATGAAATATATTTCGGTTACACATGCAGAAGGCTTCGATGCCGCCAGCTCTGACAGCTTAGAGCTTTTGTTGGCCGCATAAATCCTTTACTCAGCAGAATCAGAAAAAAATAACGGTTGCTTCTTTCAGAGAGTTAATTCGAAGGCATACGCTATGAGACGACCAAGCTTCACAAGACAAATAAGTTCTGAGCAACGAACACCAGATCCCGTTGAGGGTCGTAAACAAGAGAGAGGAGACTCCGAACCAGTTGCAGTTGACGAGGGCAAAAACCCTGAACAAGAAGCACAGCCACAGCGAATACTCAGTTCAACACGTAAAAAGCTGACAGTTGTATGCCTCGCAATAGTTTATTTTGCCACGTGTGCGGCGTTCTCTATTCTATCGCCGTTTTTCCCCACTGAAGTAAGCAAAACTAGCGCTTAGATTGCCGCCAATACAAGAATAACCAATACCTAAGGGACGACCCAATTCAAAATTTCAATTAAAATTTTGGAAAAAAAGCCTGCCTTGGCATCTTGTCAGAAAAAGAAATCTTGACATGGAAAGGATTGTATGTATATCCAATAATTGTGTTAAAAAATATATTACCAGCACAGAAGTCCAAAAAAAAAATGTTTTCTACTTTTCAGATTTCAAAAAAAAATATATGACCCAAAATAATTCCCGTTCCCCCCCCCCTCCCAATCACTTTTCTAATGGGTCGTCCTTAGAAGGTTATTAAAGCTGGGAGATTAGAGAGGGGTGGGAAAAGTCAATCCACAGGGTAGAGGGTAGGAATGAGAATTAAAACATTCTGTTTGCGGCGTGTGGAATTTTATCATATTTATTTATGCCTGCAACCAATTCAATTAAGGTTGTATAAAAGCAAAAGTTATTATTTGCATGAAATTGTTCTTAATTAAAATTCTGCGGCCCTCACTTCATCATTTTTATCAATTGTTTTTGACTTTTTTGAGTTGACAATTTTGACATGAAGTGGTCACATAGCTTTCAGGGTTTTTTAATGCACACTGTGTTTAGGTTATAAATGAAATTTTATTACAGATCATGTGATCCATTTTCACACATTTATTTAAGTTTTGGAAATGTCAGGTTCTTCTGATGTAGAGTTGGTTAAAGCATGTTTAAATACCCCATCTACTTGAAATATACAACTCAACAACCATACACCTTTTTCCCAAATTAATTGCTCACAAATTGAGTGTGCAGCTTAATTATCTATGGGTAAAAAGTCAAAGAAAGTAGGCTAATTTGCATAAATCAAAATTTGATTGCATTACAAAATGCAGTTTAGGTTAATTTTAATGCTTTGGAACTCTCAGTGCTCCTTAAATCTGTTCAGAGCTTTAGCACTCTTCATATGAAAAACTCATTTTCACATATTGGAGGTAATATTTGGAATAGTATTTAGTATTGGACACTACATGTAGATCAAGAATTAAATTGAAATTCATCTATTATGCACCTAAGAATTGATTAAAATACAGTTTAGTAATTTCTTTACCAGCAAGAGTGAATGACTGATATAACTATAAATCAAAGTGTCTTTGTTTTAACAGGCCAAAAGTAAAGGTGCTAGCGGTACTGTTGTTGGTCTTATCTTTGGAAGTTACTCTTTAGTTAACTTTATTGTGTCACCTTTCTTTGGGAAGATGGTAAGTTGTCTTCAATTTATTTTAAAACATTACTAGGGATGGTCCAGGCAAATAATGTGATTTTATCCATCTTACTTACTTACTTACTTATCCCCATCTTCCCTAGTGGGAAATAGGGCCGCGACACGGTGACGCCACTCTTGGCGGTCCTTTGCAACTTTCAAAGCCTCGCCCCAAGTCAGTCCCATCTCCAGCAACTCAGCCTGGACGGYTCTTCRCCAAGTTGTTTTAGGCCGTCCAGACTTACGCTTCCCAAATAATTTGATTTTATCCATCTAGGAGTCTGAAATTATCTAAGCTGTTGCCTCAAAATACCATTTTTAGCCAATGGTCTTTTAGTTGTGAATATTGACTGACATGTTTTGTTGCTATGGATGGTTTATTTTTTATCAAGGAGGGAGGAGGGAGTCTGAGTGGAATTTCTATAACTTCCTTGCTCAAAAACTTGTTGATCTGTTGACATCTCCTCTCTTTAAGGATTACGTATTTGAAAATCATTATAGAGAATGTGTGATTAGTGATTTGAATACATAATGAAGTGCCACCACATGCTCAGCTCTGTGCTTTTGGCTATTTTTCTGACTTATTGTCTACTCTTCCTGCCGTCTCCTTCAAACATCTTTCAACTAAAGGACTACAGCACTCATGGWCAAAAACCCARCGATGGGGAAATAGCAGTTGCTTCTAAACTCAGAGATTTTAATATCTTCAAGTCGGTGCAGTGTTTCTTTGTTTATTTTTCGAACAAAGACACTGAATTCTTCACTAACGATGCTTTGTCTGATAAGAACAATGGAAGACTGCGACGTGGAACGGATCATTTTCTTCTGTTATGGTGTGTGCAACAAAGCTTGAAGGACGACTGGAATGTTTCGATTTTGTCTGGACTTCCAAGTGCCCATCCAAAAACGGATTTTAAATGGCTAATTTTTTCATCAAATCCACACACAAAAACGTGTGTTCAAGTACGAATAGTCGATAGCAAAATAAATAGCTATCGACCTGCGAAAAGGACGAAGCGAGTAAAATCAAGTGAACACAATACTACCCTAACAGCGTTGCTACTTTTCAACTTCTCATGTCTGCTGGTGATATCTCGCCCAACCCTGGCCCTACTTCTGCTTTAAAAAAGACATCGTAAAAAAAGGAAATCACTCGACGTAAATTCGCGGCTCCGAAATGTACAGAATGCGAGAAAACTGTACGCAAAAACCAGAAGCGGTTCCTCTGTGATGTCTGTATGTCATTTACGCATGCGCGTTGCACCGGACAGACTAACGTGAAGCATATACGATCTAACTCGCATTCTACCTGGACCTG